ATTTTTTTCTGGATTTTTCTGGGATTTTTTTCTTTGTATTTTATTTTTTTAATCTTGAAAATTTTGGGTGTAATTTTTTGGCATTTTTGGCATGGGTGTAATTTTTTGACATTTCTTCTGCTTGATGTTCTTTGCACTTCCTGAATCTGTGATTTTGTGTCTGACATTGATTTGGGAAAATTCTCATTTACTATTATTTCAAATATTTTCTATATTCCCTTCTCTATTCTTCTCCATCTGGGATTCTCATTACACATAAATTATACATTTTGTAGTTGTCCCATAGTTCTTAGCTATTCTCTTCTTCCTTTTTTCTTCTTCTTCCCTTCTTTTTTTTTGTTCTTTTTGTTTTTCAGTTTTCAGGTTTCTATTGATATACTCACCAAGTCCCACAGATTCTTTCCTTACTGGTATCCACTCTACTAATATGTTGCTCAAAGACATTATTTCTGTTATATATATTTTTTATTTCTAACATTTTTTTCTTAGAATTTTCATCATTCTTCCTACATTGCCTATCTGTACTTACATACTATCTACTTTATCCATTAGAGCTTTTAGCATATTACTCATAGTCGTTTCAAACGCTAGTCTGATGATTTCCAACATCCCTGCCATGTCTGGTTCTGATGCATGCTCTGTCTCTTTGGATGGTGTTTTCTGTCTTTTCATATGCCTTATAATTTTTCTTGATATATTAAGCTGATATACTGGCTAAGACAAACTGCATTAAATAGGCTTTTGTAATATGGTGGTTAATGTGGAATGAAGGCAAGTGTTCTATAGTTATCTTATATTTAGGCATTGGTGTTTTAGTGAGCCTGAGCCTCTGTATTGTGAACTTTACAAGTGTTTGTCATATTTTTCTCTTCCATTAGACAAGATGGTTAGAGTGTGCTGGAGGTGGGTATTTCCTGTCTACTGGGTACATAGGTTTAGAGCTGGCTAAAATTGGGTATCTTTTTTCTCTAAAGTCTAATAAAACCCCAGCAGGTTAGGCACTAGTTAAATTGTTTCTCTGAAGGTAGAACTGTATTTAAGAATAGAGTGCTCTGTCATATTCTAAAATGGTTTCTTTTCCTTGCTGCTGGAAGCATAAGGGTATTCTTTTTTTTTTTTATTGAATGGTAACTGTGTACATTGATGCACTTTGGGGGTACAGTGTGGTGTTTTCACACACAATCCAATGATATTTATTGTGAGAATCTGATCATCTCCTAGAGGTAAAACTCACAAAAACATGAAGGCCCTTCCATGAGCAGGTCCCCTGGAGTTTTTAACTCTGACTTGCCAGACTGAACCAATTACAGTTTGGATTTTTCTACCTTAGCAGTGGTCCTTACAGAGGTTTCTGGTTCCATAAGTTGTTTACATCTGCTTGTCCTTCCACTCTCAGGAGTAATGATTTACCCTGTGACCTCATTTCTCCTCCAGATGTAAGAAAAGTTGTTAATTGTTCTAGTTTTCTTAGGTTTTTACTTGTTAACATGGAGGATAATTTTCATGTGAATCCAGAAACTGAAAGTCTCACTTTCTTTTTTTTTAACGGCTCTCTGGTCTTTGGAATAGGTGTCAGGTATATTCCTTACTTAACTCAGTAACAGATCGTGTGCATTAATTCTTATTTCATATTGATAACCTCTAAAAAAAGTGATGGTGTTAAGATTTCTAAAAGCCTATTTGCCCAGAAAAGAGAGTATATAAGGCACTTCTTAAACATTTTTGAGGTCTTATCAAAGGATCTTACAGCAGGCCCCTTGAGACCTTGATCCTGAAATGATGTTTTATTGGCAAAGCTTTGGATTCAGTAGTTTCCCTAAGGCCATTTCATTCTTTGAAAATCTTTTTTCCAGGAAAGACTGACAATAAGAAATAGTTTCATTTTCAACCCAGCAAAACTTGGCTCATAATTTTTTTCTTTCAATTTTATTTGAAAACTGTGCAATTTCTTTTTTAGTTTTCTCTAAATATATATAATTTATCATATGTAGCAGCTTAAATAAACCAAATGGCACTTCCAACATTCTTCTGGAAAATTTCAATGAATAAGTCCATACATATATTTTTCTGTTTTCCAAATTATTATGAATTGTGGTCAAAAATATTGTCTAATTTTCGTCTTCAATGTAACACATGTCACCTTTCCTCTGACCTCTGATAATAATTTTTTTCTTATCCTTTCAGTCTTCTTTAACAATATCTTTGAGGCATTGAAGAGTAAATTTTATGAGATTTAAAGCCAGTACCATATAATTTAGGTTTTCCTTGAAGTCCTACTTGACTTCTGGTACCAAATTCCTTTTACTGTTAGCTTATAAGGCATGAAAATGTATCCCAAAATGTCAGTGGTTTAAAACAAAGTCACTTTTTGTGAAGTGCTAGACAGCTCTGCCCCACTGATATAGTATGAGAGGGTTAAACATTTGGAGGCTTGATTTGACTGTAATATACAAAATGGCTTATTCCTAGAGCTGGGAATTGATGCTGGCCATTATCTGGGAATTCAGCTGAGACTGTAAACAGAATGCCTGCATGTTACCTCTCCTTGGCTTGGTTCTCTCAAAGCATAGTAACTATATTCCAAGAAGTATCCCAAGATGTTTCTAGTTATGAGGAAATAAAAATTTGTAATATTCCTAAAGACTAGGTATAGAAGTAGAGGAGTGTCATTTCTACCATTAATATTTTCTTATTAGTTAAAATAGTCACAAAGCCTATACATATGTACCTATCAGAGACAGGGAAATAAACCTCCAGTGACAGAGACTTGTCGGGGGATGTTTTTATCCTACTGTATGTCAGGTCACACTTTCAGGACAATTTAAATCCTTGTCTTCTGTGAATTTACAGTTTAGTAAGATAAATGAACCCCAAAATGCATCAATAAATTAAAATATAAGTTACATATTACGTTATGCTAAAAAATAGGACATGATCATGTAAGGACATAATACTTGATATGGTTGCAAGGTAGACCCCCACAAAGGGCTGCTGTCTGGGTAAACATATAAAGAAATAAGGGAGGAAAACATATATCAAGTACAGAACATTCTAGATAGAGTTAGTACAAAGTTCCTGAGATGAGACCATACCTTGTCTTGTCAAGTAAAGCATTGAAGTCAGTAGGTAAAAGTAGAGAACCAAGAATTTACAGGCAGATGAGTCACATACTACCTAGTCAACCAAATTAAGGACTTTACTCACAATGATTACAGGAGACTTTAGAGGATTTTAAGCAAACAAACAGCATAATGTGACTTAACATTTGATATGGTCTTTGGATCCTGGCTTTAGAAAAGACTATGTGACTTAGGAAGAAAACAGCAAAATTAATTAGCAGGCTATTATTATAATGTGGTTGAGTGATATTGGTGGATTATACTACAGATGGCTTAGATAGAAAAAGATATTACAAATACTAAAAATATTTTTAAATAAAACAATATTTTGAGCATTTTGATATGGAATGAGAAAAAAATGAATTAAATGTGATTTCAGTTGATTTGGCCAGAGCAACTAGAAGGGAGCTGCCATTTTCTGGGTTAAGAGTGTGGCAGTAAGAGATAAGTATTTGAAGAGCAAAAAGAATGAAATGAAGTGCTGCATTTTCTATGTGGTATGTAGGGATATATTTTAAATATGTAGATGGAGATTTAATTAAGCTGTGGATATACATGGCTCAATTTAGGTGAGATATCCAGTGTAGAAATACACTTGGGAGGCATTATATATCAAAAATGTTGTAGCTATCCAAGACTACATCATTGACTCACTCTTTCAAAAATACATATCCTTGTGTATGGACTTCTAAGTTAAATCAGTTAACACCATGTGACCAACAGAATATGGCAACAATGAGCATGTGTGGTTTTTGTGATGTAAACATATAAAGTCATTATAGCTTCTGTCTTAGTATCTTGAATTAGTTTCCCTGGAGGAAGCCATCCTCCTTGCCATGAAGACACTCTTTCAACCGTAGGAGGGGTTCACGTAAAGAGAAACTAAGGCCTCTGGAATATAGCCAAAACCAACTTGTTAGCTGTTTAAATAGCTACCCTGATACTGAGTCTGTCAGCCCCATTTAAGAATTTGGATGATGTTAGCCCCAGTCCATAACTGATAATAGCCTCATGAAAGACACTGAGTAAAATTATGAAACTAATTATTGACCCCCCCAAAGAAAAATTCATTTATTTAAATTGTTTTAAGAGACTAAGTTTTGGGATGATTTGTTTTACAAAAGTAATCATCCCAAAACTTAGTCTCTTAAAACAATTTAAATAAATGCCCTTTTCTCCAGCTTTCAAGAACATTTCTTTCTTTTCTTATAGGTTCTTGCTCATAGTCTTTTTAAGGCCTATTAGTTTTTGCTAATGTTATTTTTCTGGATTCTTAGAATTTTATTAATATTTCTCTTGAGAGACTTCCAGCTTCTTCTTGTTACCAATCCCAAGTTAATTTGCTCTAGGTTTTGTTACTATAGCACACTATTTCTGAAATAGTGAAGAAAGGGGCATTGTTGTTATGTAGTAATATAAAATTTAAAATGAAATAATTTTAGAAATGCAAAGTATACTTAATAAACAAGATAATTTAGCAAAAGACATTTCTAGGTTGTATGGAAGGTATCACCTGGCTTCTTGCCATCTATAGTAAAATAAAAACGAAAAAGTAAGCTAATGGTTTAATAGTTAAATGTATAAATTAAAATAAGGTTTTCTATGTCCAATATAAAACTTTACCTCACTCCTGCCTTTCTAGATGGCAAACAATACTAAAAATAAGAAAATTGTTTTCAAGAAAATAAGAAAATTGTTTTCAGGACAAGATAAAATCCAAAACATTGTCATAAAAACATTACCTAAAGATAATGTATGTAACGGTAAAGCCTTTCCCCAAGACCTTTGTGAAGAGTGGATGGTTGCTGCGACAGGGTACCATTTTGAAATGCTGAAAGAAGAATTGGTTTGATCTGTGGTCGGATGGTCACCTGATCTATTATGATGATCAGACCCGTCAGAGTATCGAGGACAAGGTCCACATGCCAGTGGATTACATCAACATCCGCACCAGGCACGAATGTTGGGATATTCAGCCTCCAGAAGAGAAATCAAAAGACTGTAACTTGCAGATTGTTTGCTGAGAAAGGAAAACTATCAGTCTTTGTACAGAAAGTACAGATGATCGTTTGGCGTGGAAATTTACACTCCAGGATTCCAGGACAAACACAGCGTATGTGGGCTCTGCGGTCATGACTGATGAGACACCTGTGGTTTCTTCCTCTCCTCCGTACACAGTATATGCCACACCGACACCTGAGGCATATGGTTATGGTCCATACGGTGGTGCATACCCACCAGGAACTCAAGTTGTCTATGCTGCAACTGGGCAAGCGTATGCTGTCCCCTACTAGTACCCATATGCAGGACTTTAGGGACAGCACCCTACCAACCAAGTCATCTGTGAGCGGTATCGAGACGACAGTGATTTGGCATTGGGCATGCTGGCTGGGGTGGCCATGGGCATGGCCTTAGGCTCTCTCTTCTGGGTCTTCTAGAGGCCCAGAGATCTTGATGTGCACAGCTTCTGATAACACCATGGGCAATGATAGGATCTGCAGGGCGTTTCCGTTTGTGACACACGTTTTTAATCATAGTTGTAATAGTCCCTTTGAAAGTAGTGATGTCTTAATTGTAACTGATCCATATAACTATCTCAGAGGAGGGTTTGCACTGTGCTATTTAGGTGAACATGAACTCCTTACGGGCATGAGCTCATTCCTAATGCAACTCTTGGAATACCTTATTTGAATATACCTATTTTGAAATGCATTTTCTTTTTAGAGTTGAGTGTAGCAACTTTAGGGATAATTCATTTTTGTGTTGTGCCAGTAATATAGTTATGTGTAAATAAATGAGTGATCATGGCAAGAAAAACTGCAGCTTCTGTTGAACTTCAGACCTTCAAAGCTCAAGCCAGAACTGGGCTGGTCGAGTCCTGGGTAGCTTCCCTGAGGCAGTGATGTGAGAGCCCCAGACCTGCCCTCTGAATTCCACAAGCCCCATGCATTCAGGATGATAGGGGATAGCCCCACTTTGGGAAAGGATGCTTCAGAAACCTGCCTAACCCTAGCTGCTTATTCTCACGTTATTTTGGTAGGTCTTGGTAGTAGGATTTCAGAAAGCATCTCAAATTAGGAATTGATTTGCACCTCAAAGTTTTAGGGCTTTATCTTTTAACACTTGAAGAAGGCAGAATAATAACAAACAAGTGTATGGAAGTAGATTTGCTTTATTCAGAGATGTGGTTTTGTGTTGGCTTTGGGTGTTTTTATTGCAGCCTAAGCCTACTTGGAGCCTATTTTTCTACTGGTTGTGAGAGTGACAGTAAAAGAATGTGAAGGAAATAGAAGGAGAGCCATAGTTGGGACATTTTCCATTTCTGGCCCTTTGGGGATTGTGCTGGGTGGAGGATGCTCTTCTGTTCCTCCGAGGACTTGTCCTGTGCCAGACAGAACCTTGTGACTGTCCACTGAGTGCTGGGACAGACACACGGAAGTGAGGCCCAGGGATGTGAGAGATATGCTCAGAGTACCACTCAGCTTGGCCAGGCCCCCAGCTTTGTTCTTGTTCCTGACCCACATGTGACAGAGAACCTTAGAACATTTGAGTTTTGAGCTCCCAAACATATGAATCTCATGAAAACCCATAGTCTTGCCTTTCCGTCCAATACTCTTATTTCCAGTATTATGAAGTATGTATTTCACATATTCACATATTTCACATTTTATAACTCCTAATGACTCCATTTTCTGTCTTGCATTCTATGAACAGTGCCTTCTTGCAAGGGCAGTTTAGTACAGTGATTGTCCCTGCCCCACATTTCATGTGGTCCTTTTTTCCACAAATATACTCCAGGTTGCACAGACTATGTTTTGTTATTTCTGGCTGGTTGTATGATACTGTCTCATACACATAGTGCTTAGTCGGCTCTGTCTCTGAGGCATGCTTACCATGTTATACCAGATGCCAAATGAACTGAATAGTGACTACTGGTCGGTATGGGTCTTGTTGCCAAGGGGGTGTCTGTTTCCACCAGGAGAGAAATGTGTCCTCTCTGGACAGAAGTGGTGTGTTACAACACTGGTGTCAGTGGTTTAAAATGCTGTTAAGAGGATTTTATGTCCTGTGTGATGTGAGTGGCTTTTGCTCAGATTATAATCATCAAAACTGTGTGCTTTACTTTCAAACCATTCATAGTTTCTCCTGTTGCATCAAGTGTAATTTGGAGTTACTGGGCAGGAGTTACAAGAACCACACAGAACTCACTTATACCTGGGTGCTCTTGAAGGAAAGAGCACCTGTATGCTTCCCTGGCTCTGTCTGGCTGAAGAGGGAGAGGTGTGGATGAAAGCTTGGGCATCTGTGTGTGTCCTAGTCCCCGTGCCCCCAGGGCCAGGCTCACGAGGCAGCCACAGTGGGGCCTGGGAATTCACTGTCAGTAGAATTGAGCCTGGTATGAGATGCATACTGGGGGTGATGGTGAGCTCAGATCAATTCCTTGCCAGAACTTCCATAGATGCCCACCTTCTCATCACCTCCATTTCTTAGCAGTGTCCTTTGTTAAGTGTGTGAGTTGGAAGAATTTTGTTGAAGTTTGAGTAAGCATTTTCCTTCCATGTATACTTTTAAATGATGATCGGTACCTGGGAGAAGTTAGCCATTGACATTGTACACATGCTGATCTGATTGTCCTTTTAATTTCTTGAGTTAACTTCAGGATCTTGGATATTAAAGAGAAGAGGGAGACCTATTGTTAATGTCTCAGATTATCATTCATGAACAGGGCCTGACTATATCTTTTTTAGTTCCTAGGACCCAGGGTTGCCATCTGGATCATGAGAAGAAGGCCCTGCATTTGGGACAAATAACCCACATTTATTTTTCACATCAAGTGTTGGTCCTGTGTAATCTTTTTTATTTTTCCTTAGTTTATATAGACATAAGGCATAGAATACAGTTCTGCTTTTCTTTCCAGAGTTGGTCTTTTTTGTGATTGCTTCCTGGTCTCTAGTGTTGTCTACAGAAACTGTTTTCCCCTGTATATGCAAATTACACATTTATAAGTGAAAATGTCAATACATTAAATGATCATTAACCTTAAAAAAAAAAAAAGGCACTCATCCCACTCATGAGATCTCTGTTCCTGCTACCTGGTCACCTTCCAAAGGTCCCACCTTCTAATACCATAATCTGAAGGTTAACATTTAAACATGAAAATTTTGAAGTGATAGAAACATTTAGACCAAAGCAAATGATGAGAAGCTTGACCTTTAGATACCATCTGAGACATAAAGGGATGAGATGTTGAAGGTATTGGGAAAAGGGTGAGTGTATTTTGTATGTGGGAGGTCTATGAACAAAGGCCAGTCTCAAAGACGGCTCCCAGTGATCTAAGCCTCTTTATGTAGTCCATTTCTACATTGAATCAGGGATAATTTTGAATTCCCATGTTAAAACAGGGATCAATGGCAGAAATGAAGGTATATAACTTCTTATTTAGAGAAGTCTGCATAAAGTTTAACTGAGGTCTATGAATGATATCAACCCCAACTTGTCAGCTGTGTTAGTGAGCCACCTTGAAGATGGATCCTCTGGCTACAATTAAGCCTTCAGATGATTGCAGCACCCAACTACAACTTTGTAAAATGTCACAATCCAGAACCATTCAGCTGAAAAAGTTTTAGAGCTATTAGGTAACTATTATTATTATTATTATTATTATTTCAAACCACAAAATGTTGGAGCAGTTTATTGTAAAGGAATAGGTACATAAACCAGAAGATATTTAAAGGCATATGACTATGTGAAATCATAAAATGCAAAGAGATATAGGAAAAACAGAAAAAGCCCAATGACTTATCCTAGAGACACTTCAATATTTAGGGATTTAGTGGATAAAGGTAAATAAGCAAAGGAAACTTGAGGCAATGGCCAGAAAGAAAGATTAAAACAGATAAATGTGATATCCTAAAAACCAAGTGAAGAAAGTGTTACAATAGGGAAGACTGTTCAAAGATGCCAGATGCTGCAGGTGGGTCAAAAAGAATGAGAATTGAGCCCCAGATTCAGAAATGTGAAGTGCATTAGATATTCTATAAGAGTAGTTTGGGCCATTATGATTTAGGTTAGTATAAAATTCTTGGGAGGAAAAAAATTAGCATCAGTAAGTATAGACCACTCTTACAAGGAGTTTTGTTATAAATGGAAGGAGAACTATGAGATGGTACTAAAATCCATCTAGACTTCTCTCAAAAAGATATCAACCTAGGAATAAATGTGCATTATTTCAGCCACATAAGGAAATATACAAGTTCAAAACATACTATAAAAAGAAAGCACTACCAAATTCTTGTTTGCTTCGTATTTGAAAAGCTGGGTGGTTAGAACTGACAATAAAAGGAAATCTAGAAAAAGCAGCAGAATTCCCACAGGACTTCCTAAATGATGTACTAGACAGCCCCACCTGCCACTGACTCTCCCTAACATAATCTCCACAATAAACATAAACAGAGCCAAAGAATCTCAGTAATCATATGATGAATGTGCTATCATATTATATCAGACAACTGTTATATTGCTTCTCCCTATCGCTGCAAAATTAAATAGTAAGTGAAGATACTTGGCTCCCAGGAATATTTCTCTGATTCCGTGCCTCCTAAAAATCACTGTAGATGATAGATGGTTGATGAGCATTTTGAATGTTTAGGAAAAAGGGAAAATTATTTTGTGTGATTATCACTGAAGTATGACTTGAAAAAAGTGAAGATTTGGGAAGTTAGAATACAAATAATTGAATATAATATTTTGCCATTATAAGAGCAAAGAATAATAAAATTTCCATGGTTTAAATGTTTCCCCCCTCTGAAACTCATGTTATAACCTAATCCCCAATGTAATTAAGATGTGGGGTCTTTACAAGGTGATTGGGTCATGAGGCCTCTGCCTTCCAAAACAGATTAGTCTATTCTTGGATTAATGGGTTTGTCCAGTAGTGAGTGAATTATCACAAGATGGGTTTGTTATGAAAGCCAGTTTTTTTCTCAGTGTGTCACCATGTTATGTATGACACAGCAAGAAAGTCCATAAGTGATGTAGACCCTCGACCCTAGACCTCCCAAAGACCAGAAGTATAATACATTTCTATTTATTACAAATTACCCAGCCTGTGGTATTGTTTTTTAGCAGAAGAAAATGGACTAAGATAGAAAATCGATACTGAGAGTGGTGTTATTACTATAATAAATACCTAAAAATGTGGAAGTGGCTTTGGAATTGGGTAGAGACTGGAAAAATTTGGAAGTGCAAACTAGAAAAAAATCTCTGTTGCCATAAAGAAAGTATTAAAAATGATTCTAGTGAGGACTCAGAAGATGACAAAAAGACTAAGAAACCTCTGGAACTTCTTAGAGGTTATTTAAGTGGTCATAACCAGAATGATGATAGAAAAGTAGATAGTAAAGGTCATGCTGACAAACGCTGGGATGAAAAGAAGGGA